TCACACCATTAGTGCCTACTCCTTAGCAGACAATGAGAATTGGTTGCGGTACTTCTTCGGCCTTGTCATCCAGGTTGGTGTGGCTATTTATGTATTCCTGTTGTTGCACCTCGGTGGTCCGGATACCATTTGTGCCTACTCTTTAGCAGACAACGAGCTCTGGTTACGGTATTTGCTTGGCCTCATCATCCAGGTTGGAGTGGCTATTTTTGTTTACATTAGGTTTGGAACCAATTGCACTCTCAGTTATACTTGTATGGCCATTCCTATGTTCATTACCGGGGTTATCAAGTACGTAGAAAGGATTTGCATTCTAAGGGCCGCAAGCTGGAAGCAACTTAGCAGATCCATTTTTCCCACTGCAGGTCAAGCATCAGGTCAGACCACGGATCAATCAACTCCTGGTGTTCTGACAAAACTGGAGGAGCATTTAGATAGCAAAATTGTTATTAAAGAAAGCAGATATATTCACAAAGCATTTTGCATGTTTAAGATGTCCATGCCTCTCTTTTCAGACCTCAAGCTCAGGATTCCCCAAAAGTTGAGTAAAATCTTCATACTATCCTCGAATTCTGCAGACGATGCCTTCAGACTGATAGAGGTTGAACTAGGATTCTTGTATGATGTGCTCTACACAAAGAAAACTTTAAGGCCACAACCTATATTGGGTACAATCCTTCATAGCATCTGCTTGTTGTTAACGTTTACAGCACTAATTGCCTTCTCCATTGTGGTTGAAAAGAATGGCTACCCGGAAGTCGACATAGCCATAACCTACACTCTGTTTGCTGGAGCAATCTTTCTCAACATTTGCTCGGCCATCTCAAAAGTTCGCTCCAATTGGACAATGCTCTGGTTAACCGATCCCAGCAATTGGATGTCGAAGTTTGTTCCTAAGGGTATCGTTTCCTGGTACCTGCGAAGGAATCTGGCTAAGAACCAAGGAATAGCATACATGGCGCAACACAGTTTGATGGATTACTGTCTCAAGACCAAGAGATCCAGATGGAGGAAGATTGTGAGATTTTTTGACACTGAAGACATTTTAGGGAAGCTTGTGCTTACTTCCTGGGAGAAAGTGAATCATGAAGTAAGGAACTTTATCCACGATCATCTTGTAAAGAGGCAAAGCAAGTATTGTAGAGGTGGGTTTCAATATAAGGATCTGTCAAGTTTATTGAGCAAGAAGAGAGATGGAGTGCTTGAAACGCATAACCTAATGGATAAATTTGGTTGGAGCGCCACTGGATTAGAATTCAACCACTGCCTACTCATATGGCATATAGCTACAGATCTTCTTTTTCACGTTGATCTTAAAAGACATTCTCCTGCCGAGCTTGGTTCACATTACCAAATTAGCAAGCACTTATCTGATTATATGATGTACCTCCTCTTTGTGCGTCCGAATATGCTACCTAAAGGGATTGGCCAACTGAGGATGAAAGAAACTCGAAAAGAGGTGATGGGTCTTTTTCAAAATAATGTGTCATTAAGCAGCAGTGAAGTTGTGAATACTTTGCTTGGTCTCAACTTTGGAGTAGCCGTGTTGTTGCCTCAGGATCCTAGTAGGTCCAAATCAGTGATAGCTGAGGGGTGTCAATTGGCGTGGATGTTGCGCTCATTAGTTGAGGATTCATTGTGGGATCACAGTGCCAAATGGGAGTTCATAGCTGATATGTGGATGGAAATAATGACATTTGCTGCCAGCAGATGTGAATGGAGAGAGCACAAAATACAGCTCAAGAATGGTGGGGAATTGCTCACTCACGTAGCCCTTCTCATGGCGCATTTTGGCTTGGCTGAACATATCGAAATAACGACTGATGAAGAAGACAATTCCAAGTTACTTCGTTTTGATAGTACCCGTCTTGGCTGGGACTGGGATCAACTTTCTCATTTGCCCTATTACTTAGCATAAATTCTTAATTTGTCTGGGATGCATGCAATAAGCTACTGGGTAAAGTTTTAACTTTTGAGGTCTTTTTCTTTTTTTTAATTGGTAGCTACCGTGTAAAGTTTGTGAATTTGCTTTGAACATGTGATTATGTGAACATTGGACTCCCCTTAATAAAGTTGTTTGTGTGATAAAAGAAAAGGCTTAACTAAATTGGCTCCCTTAACTTTCACTTTTTTGGTCCCCAGATAATTTTCTGCACTTCTTTTTATCTCTTAACTTGATAACGCAGTTTTTTTGCCCCCAAACAATTTGTTACGCTTTTTCAATGCATAAACTAGATGAGGTCTACTTTTTTCTTTTTTTTTGTCGGTGGAAGTTCGTGGCACGTTAAGTTGATTAAAAAATTAATTTTTTAAATTTTTAATGGCATGTACATATTTTATAAGATTTTTCTCTTTCACATATACAAAATTGTTTAGTTAGACAAAAAAACTTTATCTGTATAATAATTTCAACTATTAACTATTTTTTTTTATAAATTAAAATATTAAAAGTTATAAAAATTACAAAATTTTCTTATTCCATTATATATTTTCTTCCTCAAAGGTATGATGTTCCTCCCTCCCCTTTCCTTCTCTCCTCCTCCTGTTTCTATATTTGTTATTCTTAGAATGGGATCTCGAGAATAACAAATAATCATAATGGTCTTCTCATCTTTTTCTTAAATTTAAAGAAAATGAATATTTTAATCAACTTAATGGGCCTTGTGGATTTCCATTGAGGAAATGACAAAAAAAAAAAAAAAGGTTCACATTATCAAGTTAAGGGACCAAAAGTGCAGAAAATTGTTCAGAAAAAAGTGCATCAAGACAAAGTTCAAAGATCCAATTTTAGCATTAAATTAATTTATTAATTTTTAAATGATTATGTAATTCAATTATGAGGCAAATAAGGGGGCAATCTATTCAGATATTATGAAAAATATATAATAAGCTTATAATATTGCAAGATCATTTTTTAGGTAAAATATGAATTTACGACCCAAAAATAACAGTCATTACAAAGCATCACTATGAATCAAGGCTGCTACACGGTTTCTAAACTTATAAAAATCAGAAAGCTATAATACTTTACAAAGAGTGTCCAATTCCCAGTTAGATGATGCAATACTAACTGGCATAGGAGAAGCTCCTGTTTTGGCATATCCCATGATTTTATCTTTGACATCAGATTGAATAGTTGTCTGAATGCATGGCTGGTAACGATCTGATAGTTTGAGTATGAATTCTTCTGTCTCTCCCTCCATATGTGGTAGATGGCACTACAGCTAGTCCGAGCTAGGCGTACAAGTGCTATAAATTGCTTTCCTCTTTACTTTGTTGCATGACTGTCGCAGACCATGAAGTGTTAACTGGTATACATCTCACCCTTTTCCAAAATGCCCTTCCAGATAAAGGAGAATTAGGGGGAGGAGAAGAAGAGATGATCTCTAGTTTCTAGTTAAGCATGATAGAATATGCAGGTATGATCAATAGTTGGTATAACATCTCCATAAGAGTCGTCCCAGGACTTAGAGATTTGTCCGGTTGGAGCTCATAATACAAAAGGAAAGTTTCATGGCGAATTAAGTACTCATAATTTAAAAGTATGGGTGCATAGTGTTGAAAATTATAATTGGCATCGCTCTCTTTTTGGTTAAATATCTAATTGGGTCCATCAACTTTGAGTTTTGGACCAAGTTTACCTGTAAACTTTAAAACTTATCAAATCATCCTCAAACTTCAATCTTTTAGGGCCAATTTTTTTCTTTCCGTCGGTTAAATGCTGATGTGGTCCATTTTTCCATAGGCAGTGCTATGAACAATTATTTTATATTATTTTTTGATATAATTTTTATATATTATTAAATAAGTAGATATATTGAATATAACGAGTCTCATATAAATAAAAAAATAAATCATTTAAATGATACATTAGATTATACCAAGAAATAACACAAAAAGATTGTTCTAAAATCATTTTCTTTTTTCCATCCAAACATTTATTTTTTTTAACTCTAATTATTATGTGGAAATAAAATAAAAATTCACATATACGTATATGGCATCATAGGAATTTTCATAGAACTTCAAATCCAAATAGTAGGCATTTTCATATTTTAAAAATAAAAAATTAGTTGTGGGTCTAATATTTTATTATAAAAAAATTTATCACCTAAATTTTTAAAAAATTATAAGATAAAAAAATCAAAATAAGTCATTTTAATAAATTTTTATTTTAAAAAATTAAAATAACTTATTCAAAAATTAAAATTGAGTTTTTCTATATTTTAATAAAGTGATATAATTTTAAATTATTTATTTTCTTAATTGTTTAAACTGAAATTTTAATTATATATAAATTTTATATATTATAATTATATAAATTTTTGACATTTATTTTTTATTTTTAATAATTGAGATTTATTTTAATTATTTAAATAAAAAATTATTATTTATAATATATATAAATAAATTTTAATTATTAAAAATTAAAAATATATAATTAAATTTTTATATAAATATAATATACAAACCCATATATAAATAAATTTCTACTTTAATGTCCTAGTCATTGTCATTTTATTGTTACTAATATATTTAACAAAGCGTAAGCTGAATGTTCAAAGAAAAAAAGATCAGCGTAAGGTAAAATTACAGAATTACCTCATCCTTCTCTCCTCCCTTCTCCAGCACAGCACCGGTGTTGTTTTCACCTTCTCCGGCACTGATGTTGCCTTTCTCTTCCTCCACACTCTCTCCACTCTCATTTCTCTCTCTCACCTCAGTCCTTTCCCTTCCAATCTTGGCTCATCTACCTCCCCTTGGTTGCAATTAAAATCCTCACGAGTCTTGCAGTGTGGCTGGTCTAGATCCGGTTGTGTAGCATGCGGTGTGGTTGTTCGGGGTGTGGTGTAGCACCGATAGTGGCTCCTCCATTTTCGCTGATGTTTTGTCTGAAGAAATAATTGGGAAGAAATAAAGGATCTGAAGAAATGGGTATTACTTGAAGGAGATAAATGCAACGAAGAAAAGAAAATTTCTTAGTAATTTTGGGTTTAGTTTGGTTTTAATTTCCTAACACATTTGGGTTGCTCTTAAATTTTTTTTTTCCGATCCATAAACGATAGGTACTTATCGGCAAATCTACTACTCAACTTCCTATTAATTTTTTACGAAAAATAGAGATTTTATTAAAATGTAAAAAGGGATTACATTAGAATCTCTATATGTCATTGCATTCTAGTTTATAATTGAAGGATAACCTACCACGATAATTATAAAGTTAAGTTGTGTTTATAATAAATTTAAGCAATTAAATATAAAATATCATCTATAATTAAAAATTAAAAGCAATTGCTATAAATACAAAGACATAGATACCTAAACAGTAAGACTACCTTATTAAG